GACAAGAGTTGATTGGCCCGGCAGTGCGCCAAGTTCACGGCACGGGCGTGGGCAGCACATCGGCGGGCAGTGCTGGGCTCCTCCAGTCACCACATAGTAAGGGCGTGCTCCTCACTGCATGCATGCGACTTCTGTGATATAGATGAAATCCGTCCTGGCATCATGCAATGACAAGGGTTTGATTACCGTACCGGGGGGCGCTTAGAGTGGTCACCACCATAGATATATCCTGTTCAGCGGTCGTCAGCCACGGCTCACAGTGCTCGTGTCACTCCGAAAGGCGGGGCACTCATCCTCAGTGCGGGTGACCACCCCAGAATCGTCCCAGACCCGCTGAGGCGTCGCGACCCCTGCAAATCGTCGTTGCTCCGAAATCGCATCACAAACCACGGTTGATGCAAACAGGTGCTGCGGATCCCCAACGACGCAGATCGGTGCAAGTGTGGTCGATGGCAGCCAATCGGCCGGTGCTAGGAGGCCTCCCGGGGCAATCGTCCAAGAGAGGGGGCTCGGGCTGGCCCAAGGTCATGGCTTGCGGCAGCCTGGTGCTGGCGTTGCTGGTTGCGGCGGTCTCAGGTGCGCCCCGCAGCCACCGTGTGGCACCGCGCTGCCGCCACCTGCATGTACAGTGTGGCATGCGCACTTGGCAGCACCTCACCAGCGGCATGACAATGGGCTGTGTCTACCCTGCCATGTGCTGGTCCCCTTAACCCTATGCAGCCTACATGGCAACTTGTTCGCATCCTCGGGTGGCTGTGCCTCCTCGCTGATGAGCGAGAGAGCTTGCTGCAACCGGTCAGCAGGCTTCCTTGACGCGACGCAAGCCGACCCACTCGACTGATTTTTATTTTGCCATGGCAGGCCAGGGCCTCGTGCCAAGTGACGATCCGTTGGGGGCAGGCCGCACGCCCGGGAGCGTGCTGGCTGACACGTACGCGTCCTTCGCCAAGCAGTGGAATGGGGCCAAAGCCTGGCAGCAGGCCCTCAAGGCGGCCCCGAGGACCGCGTGCGTGGGCTTATCAAAAGACTCCCTCTGCTCTTCGATAGTTGCGGAAGGTGGGGCGTGGCATTGCTCCTGCAGCGGCCCGCATGCATGCGCTCTACCTCAAACCAGCAGCCGTGGCGCGGGCGTGCCCGGAAGGGGGGTGGCGATGGACTGACGGCCGCCCCCGAGCCAGCTGACCCATGATAATCTGCTTCACTGGCACTGACCGCCATTTTCGCCGCCGACTGTGCTGCCACCACCCACGCAGATGCTGAGAAGCTCGCCACGCTCATGCTTTCATCTTCGCCCGCCGCCTACAGCTCCCTCGATCCGCGCGACGTCGGTCCCAACCGCGTCATCTCGCCCCCGCGGGACCAGGGCACGTGCTTGACCTGCACGGCGTTTGTCGCCGTCACGGCCGCTGAGGTGCGAGGGCGACGCGACTGTCGCGTGCTGGCCGGCTCGACACGTTGCCACAAATTTCCACAAATTCCTCCAGGCTGTGGCCTGTCGGTCGGGGCTGGTGCCTGTGCACTCTGTCGCACCTTTCTTTGTTTGTGACCAACCTACATCTCACTTCTTCAAATGCGCCACCCCACCGCCTCCTTGCTCACCGCGGCTCGGCTTGTGGCCGCGGGGCCGTCGCGTGCAGGCCGCGGTTGCGAGTGCCCTGGGCCAGGACGTGACCAGCGTTGGCCAGCTGTCCCCGCAGGACCTGCACTACTGCGGTAACAACCGGCTCAGCTGCGACACAGGGGCTACGCTGCAGGACACACTGGCGCAACTGGAGAAGAGGCAGCTGCTGCTGGAGGACTGCCTTCGCTACCAGCCGCCCGACATGAGGGGGGACGCGACGCAGCAGCAGCTCTGCGCGAGGTCGTGCGCCAACACCAGCCCCCTGGCCTCCCAGGGTACGTTCAGTTTCGTGCGAATCACGCAACTGTGGAAGGCGCAGCAGCACATCCGCAAGCACGGCGCCGTGGTGAGCATGATCATGTGCATGCATGTGTGTGTGTGTGTGTGTGTGTGTGTGTGTGTGTGTGTGTGTGTGTGTGTGTGTGTGTGTGTGTGTGTGTGTGTGTGTGTGTG